GGACTTATTACGGCAACCTGGAAGAAAAGGCAACTGAGGCCCGATATCTGCTCGACCAATTTATGCCGAACGGCCATCCGAGGACGTCCATAAACCAATGCCCCCCTGCTTGCCCCGGAGGATCCAACTGCCTACGGTATGGCATGCTCTGTCATTATATCAAGGACGTGTTAGAGGCGACCAAGAACATTGCTGTTGGAACTGGACACCGCCGTTGAGACTATTAGCCCCCCAGCGCGTGTGCGACTCTCGCTCTGCCCCAGTTAGCGTCCGCCAGCCAATCAGAGGAGGGCAGAACTGATTGGCCTTGAGAACTCGCGAGGTTAGTGACAAGCCTCGCACGGTCTCAGAATTGAATCGACAGGGCGTGTGGGGCGGACAGAAGGGCAGCTAGACAGAGCGGTGGAGAACAAGGAAGCGCGTACTGCCACATATCTACCTGGCACCCACATACAGAGCCTTGCGCAGTCATCCCGAGACCTGCGTCACTTACGTTCGCCTAACCCACACCCCTATGGCTGTTGCTTGTTCTGCTGCCGCTTTTATTTCAGATTGACTTGCACGAGTTCGTCAGTTCGAACAAGTAAAGAAATTTTTTGCGGTCGAATAGTTCTTACACCCGGCCTTAGAACATTTGCCTTCATTAGTTCACAGTGAGAGTAGACTTGCACAAGATATGCCGCACTTTCTCCTCCCTCGTCTACCTGGGCCTGATATCGAGTTAAAGAAGACCCGAGGCCGGATCGGGAGCAGATGGCTGGGGCGTACATGCGCACGGGCGTGTCACCACGCCCTCCCATGTGTGGCATTTGCCAGGGGTGCGCAGCCCCATAGCTTGTACTGGACCCTGATCCGCTCCCGTTGTTGGTCCAGCGCAACTCCTGCGCGGACTGTTGTTGGGGAGCGCAAGTTAATGAATATCACGCGAGTATCCCGCTGTGGCTGATGGACTTCGGCCCAAACATTCATACATCAAACTTCAGACTACGCCTATAGACGTTAATGTAAACTGATTTGCCCCAAGTTAGCAGTTAATTTCTGAGGAAATTGGGAAGCAACAATTTCTAGACTGGAGTGTCTATCAGAAAGGACGCGGAGAATGCTGGCGGGACCCACTTATGAGCCGAACCCCTTGCAGCTGCAGAATATTGGCGAAACGCGTGTCCGGGTTTTTAGCTAGTACTTTTGCTGCTTGTATGCTATCTTGTAACTTTAGAGTAAACTTCCGTACAGACAATTCTAAGTGATATTCAGTGGGCGCTCCCTGTAGTGTGGTACGGACGGTTTCGTACGTCTAAGTTAAGTCAATGTATGTTTTACTACACATATAGCCAAAGAAGATAATAAATTCCGTAGGAAGAGCAAAAATCGGTACGGAGAAAATAACTGTAAAAAGTGCAACTTACAGGGCATACGCCTCTCACAAATACCATCAAATTGATTCGAATAAGCTAACTCATATGTATTAATAGCATGCCTCGTGTTCGGCCCTCGCCCAGTAATGAGAAGTTGCAGTACTATCTGTGACCCGGCAGTCGTAAGGAAGGGGTGCGCTGGCCGCCAAATTCTCTAGTGCCAAGTTCGGGATATTTTCTAGGGTGTTGCACAGCTGTACACTAATACGACAAAGGGGCCGCCAACACTCTCAATACATCCATATACCTCGGCCCTAGGAGAAAATTTATGCATTAAAAAATGTGATGCATACACCAAGAAAACATCACGTGGGCGGAGTGAAGTTTGTGCCTCCACAATGCACACGACCAATGGAACAGCTTTTACTTACTATAAGAGCGAAACTCCAGGGAGGAGAAAGAAGCTCAGCGACTATACTTATCACGAAAAGCACGCCCGTGATACATTTTGTTTCAGTCAGCGGCAGCGACACTGCTACTACGGTACGGAGGGCTGAGGTCTGGCGCGCTGAGTGCCTTATAAAATGTCGCAAAGCCCGATGACGGAGCTGTGACGTGGAGGCCGTCAACGGCCATTAAATCAGCGCGTTGGCCACCATTGCCTAGCCGTTAGGTTCGTAAGCCAGAGCACTAGGGAGACATACTCAACAAAACAATATAAGCTGCTGGTAGAGACCCGACTGTACTCAAAATTCCCAAGAAACCTCAAAGTGTCGGCTACAGCATTACGACCCATGATACGGCGTCCGCGCGAACAAACGCGCTCTGCAATCCTGGTCAAGTGGTCCGGGCGAATAGCATGCGAGCTGGACTACCCGACCGGGAACAGGCACTTCGTATTGAATGCTGAAACGTGCGAACGTCTCTGGACCCCGGCACCCTAACTCTGAGGGCACACGGTCTTTATGAGTACAACGTGGAGGTCTGCTGGCTGTCTGAAGTTCAAATGCCCGACTCAGACGCTAGAGAAATAAAGAACCTAGGTGCCAACTCCCATTTTACCCTGTACCACAGCGGCCTACGCGACTCTTTCGGTGGACGTTGTGGTTATCGCCCTCTTAAAACAAGCAAATTGTGCGTAACTCGTACGATAACCAGTTAATGACCGGGTGATTTAGGGGCCACTGAAGGGTCACCTTGCGAACATCTGCCGTCGCCGTGTACGCACGAACAGCACGATAAGGCGACGTCTCATTCGCATCTGAAGTTAATTGAGGGACTTCACCCCCATTATCTGCGATTGTTGCCAGGACCTGAAATGGCCGGTTCGATTCCGACGAATCTTCAAACAGGCACCCTACTGACCGCCTTAAACATGGCACTCGATGTGACAATGGCGAAAGGATGCCGAATTTTGCTAATCAGAACCGGCTGTTTGTCAACAACGCGTGCTTTCGGCATCACCGCACACACTACTTGACCTGGCCGGTCAGATCAACTCCGTTCTAGTCGGTCCAAGGTCCCGCAGTTGAGTTCACGATAGCAGATCAATGCTTAGTACTGAAACTGATAACAATCGTGGAGCCGACCATATTCTTGCTCACAAACGCCTAAAAGTTCACCTCTCGTCTGTACCCAAAATTCCATGTGAGACGCCTTGATGTCGCACACCTTCGACAATACAGCACTGCGGAGACCCCAAGCTCAGAAATCCGGACCGATTTTAAGACAGGAGCCGATGAAAAAGGCAGTGGTCAATGGTCACCAGTCTACGGGACAGTGATAAAATAATTGGACACACACAGCGGTGCCGCAGTGACTGGCTCAAAGAACCCTGTTGAGAAAAAGTTGCAAATGCAATACAGAGGCTGCACGACAACAAGGCGCCCGGAGAGGACGGTGTTCCTGTTGAAATCTAAGTCTTGTGTCGACACTGGTGTTCTGGCTTCATGAGGTGATTGAGCAAGCCTGGGGTGATGAGGTAGTTTCTAATGACTGGGGCTCGGCAGCCTTAGGCCTGTATTCAAGAAGGCAGATAAAGTGCGTGAAGTACCACGGCATAAGCCTCATCGAGGTTGTCGCGAAGGTCTTCATTGATGTCCTATTCGGGCGGTTCCAGGCCGTATGCGACTTTAAGACGAGGCCCAACCAAGTCGGAATCTAACCTGGGCGTGGAAGTGCGGACCGAGCATTCACACTGAAGTGCTTTCTCGAATCCTGCCATAGCCACCAGCAATCAACGTCCGTCTGCTTTGTTGACTTTTGCCGTCGCGTTCGATTCCGTCCATCGTGATTCCCTGTGGCGGATAATGGCACTGGATGGCGTACTGCCAAAAATCATCGCCATGATCAAGGCCTATTATCGCTCCACCACCGCGCAAGTTCCGGTCCACAACCATCCTTCCCAACCGTTTGGTATTCTGTCTGGCGTTTGACAGGATTGTATCCTGTCGCCCATTCTGCTCAACAACGCTATTGACTGGATTCTCGGGAGGGCCCTACATGGTTTTGAAGGTGTGGACTTCGTACTCAGACACCGGCTGGCTGCTCCAGACTACGACGACGATATCACCTTGCTAGCCCAAGGCTTTGGTAATCTAGTCTGTGGCGTTACGGGTGAATGAAGCAGCTAATTCGTTCTGTTTATCCATATACGCTGGAAAGATCAAATTGTTTCCGAGCTGCATTCCTGACGAGGAGAAGGCATCCCTCAGGGCTAATGGCTGTCAAATCGAGGAATTCGACAATTTTGAATACCTCGAGGCGAGGTTGTTGCCCAGTGAACATAGTAAGGACGACATTGCCTCCCGAATCGATGCTGCTAGTAGGGTTTTCTCAAGCCTTAAAAATGCCTATGGATCTAACGCGTCATCGCCATGACCACCACGACTCGCGTGCACCGTGCATCTGTCCGGCCTGTATTTCTCTATGGCTGTGAATGCTGGGTTGTGCGCGTGGAGGACGAGCGAAAACTGGAGGTATTTGATCACCACTGCTTGAAGACCATCCTTCGAGTGAAGTACACCGACTTCATCTCAAATGAGACAGTCCGCGCTCGCTGCGACAGCATCACAAGGATAACCCAGGCCATCCTAGAAAGGCAACTGAGATGGTTTGGGCGTGTTCTTCGTCGTCCACCTCAGGAGCTCGGTGTTCCTGCCC